GACGAATGTTAGAAGACTGGTTTGTTCAGGTTGTCCTATACCTGGTACAGTAGATCAAATGGCAACAAATATGATTAATATCGAACACCGTCTCCTACAAATAAAATGGAGTAACAAATTAATAACTAATGTTAACTAAAGTCTATTTTTATTGAACCACTGATCCGTCAAATGGATCTGCTAACCTGAAAAGTAAAAGTTAAATTGTCCGAAACAGTCTCCTGTAATTGGTGCTAGCATCATTAATATTATCTGCAATAGTTGTGAAGAAAAGACGGACGTGTTGCTCCATCACACGCAATCGAGTAAGTCATTGGTTCCGCCCTTTGCTTTTTGGTTTCTTTAATAATGGCGACCGCCGGTTCGTCACACACTGGTTTCCATTGGTGCATCACAGTGCATATAGTTGAGTATCCACTGGTGTGTTACACACAGTTGAATGGCCGCCGGTCCGCCTGGTACAGTACTCCGTGGAAAAGGAGTTTTCATTGTGTGCTGCGGCTCATCACATGCCTGGGATCAGGGGGTCTGAACAGGGTCACAGCGGGAGCGCCGGGCTGCTGGAGGGGTCATGGAAAGTGTGAAAGACTGTCACCAAGTGTCCTTAAAGACTTTACCGTCACAATCCTGCATTAAACAGCCGGGCAGTGGAACGTTATGTCACATTATATGTTTTCGTTAATGCCCTCCATCGTCGTATAGCTTAAATCAGTTCAGCTTTATTCCATCGCAGTAAAGTGATTAAAAAAACAGAGTGATAAATATACAAGCGACAGAAGCATCTAAACAAACATCGTCTTTGTTCCAACTTCAACATGTTAGCACGGAGCTTAGCTGATTAATGGTATGGACACATATGGATGCCCAGTTGATCCGTACACTGGGTCTTGATCAGGCTTAACCTTTCTACCTCTAGCCCAGTTTGCCTCTGCTCTCAGCTGTCTGCATTCACGGCGCAGGCCTCTGATTGGCTGAACTCTGGCCGACTGGTCTGTGTGTTCATGCATGCCGGCCTGATCATCTCTCCCTGACCTTCAGTTTACCCCGCCCTGCATACATTTACTCTCATCCTCTTTTGATCCCCTACCTTGTTGTCTTCATCCTTCATCTGGCCCAGAGACGTCCCGCCGCTCTCTTGCTTTACAGCTGCTTCTTGCTTCCTTAATGTGATGCATTTCCAGATTAGATGAAAGACGGTTTCATTTGATAGCAGTTGTGGAAGTGTGACATTTGTATGTGCATGCCTATGATTACACAATGAGTTAGTTGTTTCATTTTTTTTTTTTTTTAAAACATCACAGTCTTTAAGATACAATTTACACATAGAAATTAACAAAATCCACAGCTGTCTTAAATTAGAAGGCTGGTTGTAATATAAACCTCTTCTAACTGTCAAAACATTGTTGTGTCCCACCGTTGCACTGTTCTGCTGCTGTAAACACTCACTAGAGCACCAAATGTGTATTCATCCGCAGGTGAAAATAGTCCCCAACAAATGCACTATTCTCTCCTGTTTGAGTGATCTTTGCTAAAGACTACAGTGCCCAGCTGATTAAGGAAATTACTGAGCCTTAAAAAAAAAAAAAAGAAGAAAGCATACGTTTTTTTTTTTAAGCATTTGTAAAGATTTACATGTTCAGTAGTAATCAATGAGATGTGGACCACAGTGTAGTCAGGTTGGTTGATGGAACAGTAGAACACCAGACTTTTCCTTAAACGGTAGCACTTTTCTTTTCATTAAATCAACATCAAATCAACTGACACTCAACAAATAGAGTTACAAAAGAGGCCGATCACCATTAAAGGCGTTCTTGACCTAAAAACACAATGACATGGATGTTTATGTCGGATCCAGGTTTTTCCACCCCCGTCTCAGTCCTAACCTCTTCACCCGGGCTCTGTGCCCCGGCCTCGGCCCCGGTAGACCAGAGTGCAGCGGGGCGGGGGTGCAGAGGGCGAGTCCGGGGCAGATGCAGGTCACGCCAGATCCAGATCTCCCTCGGTAATCTCTGCCCCAGCTCTGAACCCTGGATCCCATTAAAAAGGATTTACATCCAATAGTGTAGATGTACCAAAGGCAGCTTTGCTTTCTTCTCTTCTCATCATTTTTCCACTTCTAATAAAATCCCAGGAAAACACTAGCAAACACTAGCATAGAGGCAGTGTGTGAGCTAACGAGGAAGAAATACAGAAGCAGCTGCACATAGATCACTTCTGCTGCATATTCCACCCTGCTGTCACCCCTCCCTCCCTCTGGTCTCCATCCCCACTATCCCTCCCTCTGGTCTCCATCCCCACTATCCCTCCCTCTGTGCCTCTTTTGGGTTTTTACAGTAAGACTTGCTAGCGTCATTATTCCTCTCTGAGCTGCTGGATCCTCTCCGATCTCATTATTTGTGTCATGGTCAGAAGTAAACCATGATCTCACTTGCCCTCGCTGCCCGTTGAGCCTTTAGAGTGCAGTGATACTTCGGTTATCAGCAGCCAGCCTGATTACCTCCACACAAACTGACAGCTATGTTTGGCTTATAACCCATGTCACCCAATTAGGCGAGCCCCCTCGTCACCGTTTTAGAATATGAGCTGGTGCCAGCGGCACGAAGGATAAGTTTGTCTTTTCTTATCTCTCACCTCAGGACCCTTTCCTACCTTAACCAAGTGTTTCAGTTGATTAACATTAAATAGATCAACCACAGTTTATTTACCAAAACCTTGATCTTTAGCATTCGTTAACATGAACATGACATCACCGTTTAAGTAGATGTGGGTGTTTGGTATTACAGCTTTGACAGACTTTCAGTTGTGACTGGTCTGTTGGTTCTAGGCATGTCGTCAGGACCGGTTAACATTGACACGCCTATTGAAAAGTGTCCATGCTGTTCTGCAAAGAGTCCTTACTCTGTCAAACACACAACTAGTCAGCCTGGTGTCTCCTCCTTTGACCATTATTTTAAACGGCTCCAAAGAAAGCGCAACTCTACAGCAGACATTTTCATTGCAATTCAAATTCAATTCAAGAGAAACTCCAGTGACCTTTTTTAATGGAGGCTTTATACACTGTTTGTTTATTTGTGTGAATGATTATGACATTTCAAACTACCGACCCTTCACAGGCTTAGGCATTTCTGCTGCTACAGGAGTTTCCATAAGTCGTCAGCTTCCGATCCCCACGTATCGGGGATTAGATTAATGGATTTCTACGAAAAATCACGAAGAGGCTGATGGACAGTCTGTCGTGTGCGTAAATAACTTTCACTGTAGTGTTGGGTAAACACAGACGTTGTGCGGTGTAACACGTTTCATCCGTGGAAACAACATTCTTTCGCTTATTTGTTGTCTCCATTGACAGATTTAAATATTTTATTAATGCTCTAATAACTTTTAACACACTTTATTCAACATCACAATGACACAACTTCCTGGTTTTCAGATGCGATTGAACTAATCAATCGGAAGCTCAGAAGATAAAGCTTAATATAAAATGCCCCAAAAATCACTGATTCTCGCTACTCAATAGGACGATTGGCTCCTTTTCTGTTTGATTGTTTTCTCAATTGAGGATGTTTGAGTTCTGGAAAGATGGTGGAACAAATCAAGACATTTGGAGATGTTATACTTTAGCTTCAGGACATCAGGACGGGCATTATTTCACTATTTTATGACATTATTTGATGATGAAAGCGATGACGATCACTGGTGTCAGAACGATTGTAAATATTTAACTCCGTAAAAATGACTCTGACCTACTTATCGTACATTCCCTTATGAAGCTTACAATACTGAATAAGCTAGAAACAATGGTCAGCAAATATGAAAGATTGGTTGCATCTTTTTGTGAGTGATTTGGAATATAATTGTTTTTAATTGTCATCAAATTTGAACTGTATCATAAGACGGCGCTAATATTTAATTTCAATATGACAATAGATGAAACTACCACAGCACGCCCTGCGCGCCGCAGAGTGAGGATGCTGTAGTGAGTCTTTAGTGAAACTCGGTCAGGGTCGTATACATTTTTCACGCGTGTGATTCCTCTCCTCTGTGGCTCTCCGTGCAGCGATCCGCTGTGACCCCGGCGTGCCCTCCAATCAGCATCCCACCAAGCCCACGACTTTACCGCACGCCATACATTAAAGCGACGCTGCACTCCATCAATTAAACAAGCCCAACAAGGACAGGCAGAGTTCACGGAGCTTCTCCTCGATCTGCTGCGGGTGGCGTGCCGTGAGAGAAGGCGATGTTGCAGATTATTACATTTTTTGTTTTTACATTTTCACATGATTTACGGTGCATTTGCATACTTCCGTTCCCCATCTTCTAAAGCTATATTTAGACTTTTGCACTCTGCTGTATAGCTTTGATATCACTGCCCGTCCCCTTATGGCCATGTCCACCATTCTAGCCTGAAAGGGTCTTGAAGTGTGAGAAGAAGTAGAGTGCATGGGACCAACCATGATCAAATGTGCAGAGAAAAACAACAGAGTTGATCCAATGGCTGGTGCCAGGGGGGGGGGGGGGGATTACGGCATCTCTGCTTGTTCTGCACGGATTAATGCGTGTATGGCTGCTAAGGTGCTAAGGTGTTGCGTGCTCTCGGAGCACGCTGCAGCAGAGATATGCATCAAAGCAAGAGGTCACAAAGATGTCGGCTGCACGTGTGTGCAGCCTGTGCAAACTATTAACTTTTGGGCACGTAAAGAGGATAATGTCAGGACGGGTTAGTGTTCGCGTTGGTGAAACATCGGTGATCTGCACACGTTATAATGTTGAATAGAAGAAGACGATGTTCATGAGTTATGTATTGCTTTTAGCAGTGGAAGCTTTGTGGTATGATTTTAAAAACAGTAAATAACTTTACAAGAACATAAAGAACTTCTGTGTTCCGTGATGACATGCCTTTGTAAAGTTTTGCTTCTGATTTCACCGATTCTACCGCTGAAAAGTGAAAAAGTGTTTGATTGGGACACAACTGAGTGACTCTTTCCTCCTGGTTGTTTCAGGTCAAGGTTTGGTTCCAAAACCGGCGGACCAAGCAGAAGAAGGACACCACCAAGGATTCAGACAAACGCTCGTCCTCCTCAAACGAGTCGTTGGCCACCTGCAACATCCTGCGCCTCCTGGAGCAGGGCCGCCTCCTCTCGGGCCCCGTCCCGCCGCCGAACTCCCTCCTAGGGCCCCCGCATCTGGCAAACGGCTCCCTGCTGAGCAGCCCGGGCGGATGCTCCTCCACCTCTCCGGGGATCAGCAGCAGCACTCCTCCCAACTCCCTAGTAGGGGGGAATTTCGGGCTGTCGCTGCCCTCGCTGGGCGGCACCCCACCCTCACCGCGGCTGGGCCTCCCGCCGCCGCACTCCCTCTGCTTCTCCATGCCGCTGCTGGGGGGCGCCCATCATGAACTGACATCCGTCTACGGCTGCGGCTCTTCCGCTTTTGAGCCGTACATGCGGCTGGACAGGAAGGAGGCAGATCTGGGAGGGAAGAAGACTGTTTCTTAAGTAACGTGTCCCTCTTTTAGGACACCAGGGGGGCTGGGACTTTGATGGAGGGCGTTTGTCCTCAGATGTTCGCTCTGCAGCCTGTTTGACATTTGAGTCAGGGGTGGGGGGGGGGGGGAGATACCTGGATCATCAGAAATATGGAAAAAGGAAGAGTCCAGGTTCCATGTGGCACCATTTTGTGCCACAGAACTGTTGGGAACACAAAATGGTGAAAAAGAGACTCTCCCACATAAAAAACAAACAAAAAAAAAACTTGTGAATTTTTTGCAAAAATGCTGTGTGTGTGTGTTTTGCGTGAAACCTGACAGACGGCTGTTTTTATCACCACTCTCTTCGCAGTGGTTTCAAGTGACTCTTCACTTTTTGTCCAGTGTGTGTGTGTGTGTGTGTGTGTGTGTGTGTGTGTGTGTGTGTGTGGTTTTCTCTCTATACAGGCCTTCATTTACTGTTCAGGAAACAAAAAAATACTTGACATAGATAGTTCAGACTGAATCAGAGTCTGAATGAGGAGAGAGGAGTTTCAAAGACAGCAGTTTGTACACATTTCAGTACAAGTGGCCATGTTTGATTTTTAGTTAACGTGCTATCACAACACTGGGGGAAAAAAAAAAAAAAAGAATCGTAGCATTTAATATCAGTCTGTTTGGTGTCCAGCAGTAGCTTCTGTAAAATCTTTATTTGGTTGTGTTCGTGTATGAAATAATCTGTGGTAGAATCTGGACAAATGGTGCAAAAATCACATAATATAAAAGAACAAGAGAAGAATACCGTTGAGACTCTGCCAAAGCCTTTGTGGATGAAGCGTTGGAGGTGCCACACGTGTGTCCTCCAAACGGAGACTTTACCTTTGAACCCAGATTAACCTTTCAATCTTTGATTCACTGAAATGTCTTGACGAGACACTCCTGTTAAAAAAGACTCGATGTGAAGAGTTTTGAAACGTCTGGCCAGGTTTTTGGAGATTTCTTTCTTAATTCCAGAACCCAACTTGTGAAGGCCGGCACTCGATCCAGAGGTTTCTGTTTTGCATTTAGTTTATCAGTGTGGTTGAGTCTAGAGCTGCAACGATTAGTTGATTAATCGATTCGTCCATCGAAGGAAAATTTGACTATTTTGATACATTTTTTTCAAGCAAAACTACCAAACATTCCAGTTCCAGCTTTAAAGAAACTGACAATTTGCTGTTTTTCTTTGTCATACATGGGAGTAACTCGCCACAGCATCTGACAAATTGTGATTTTAACTTTTTGTATTTTTTAACATTTGACAGACTAAATGATTAATCGATAATGGAAATGATCGTTGGTTGCAGCCCTAGTTGGCAATGAGCCGTGACACTTTGTAGGTTTTGCTGCTGTTTTTACCCCCCAACGCTCATTTCACTTATTCATAAGTTGCCCAATTTATGGTTTGCAACAATCACCCGTATCTGTAATCACAAGAACTGTATTTTTTACAGGAAACTCTCACCTGTGTGCACATGCTTAGGATGCAGCGTCACGTGAAAAGTTGTGTTTGTAACGATAATTTATTTTTCTTTAAATTGGTATTTGTTGTTTACCCTTTCTGATGTTTTGTGAATCTTGGCTCGCCCTCCTGTTAGACTTCAGCTCGTCTTCATTGAAAAGATTTTCTCTGCTTGCCCCTCATTGAAAGCACTTTATGTTTGTAGGTTTTTATTCATCCTCCTGCACCCCCCCATTAACTCCCTACTGAGAACAGACTGAAGAACCTCCCAGCTTTGCTAGAAGTCAGAGTTTGGAGTCGGTTTATTATTCGGATGGTATTTTTCAGAATTTAACCCCTTCAGTTATTAAAATAATTTTTCAGATACATTTATTTGCGTGAATAAATTACTTTGAACCTTAAATCGACTTCAGGATCTGAAAAAAGTGCCACTTTGAGACACGCTTTTCTCTGTGGTTGAGAAAATATACATTAAGGAGAGGCTGAGGGAGGAAAGAAACAGGTAATATCCCCCCCCCATATGATGCCATTTTTCCAGGTTTCCTTGTTGTCCAAAGAAAATCAAAACTCACCTGCGAGAACCTGCGATTCTCCAGTTTGCCCTCAATCTGTGTGTGTCAGATGAGCTCTAGTCCCTTTTCACAACTTCTGTCTGTCGTCTGTTTGCTGCCCTTCGTTTTCACCTCTTACTTCCCCACGTGCGTCTATTCATTTCTAGCTTGCCTCTCATTGTGAGCTTTAATATGTTTTCCCTTTTCATCCCACGCTCGCTGAAGGTGACTCGACACCTATTCTTCTTCTTCTTTTTTTTTTTCCAAAAGGACACTCTGGTGACACCAATTTTAAAAAGCCACTCGCTAGTACAGGCCGGGCTCCAGCTGAGGCTGCCGAGCATGTTCCCAGCTGCAGGTAAACGCACGGAAAGGTTTCTGACCTCAGCCTATGAAAACACCGGGCCTTTTTGCACCCGTGTCGCACCGGCTGGTAGCAGGTGATTTGTTGTTGTTGTTGTTGTTGTTTTTCAGGCCCCACCAGTGCTACAAAAAAACCCCTGTTATCCACTCACGGCTCTTTGCAGCGGTGCACCTATGCTGTTGTTGAACACTGTATTATTTTCTATAAGCACCATCCATAATTCACACGCTGCGGCATCAAATATTAAGCAGAGAGATGGAGCTGAGAGGTCGGGAGTCTTGCTTCTCATGTAAGGCCGCTGTACCCTTTTCACAAACCCTCCTTTTTTCTTTTCTTTACTCGCTGTGGGGATGTTTTGCTTCGTTGCCAAGTTGCTTTCCTGTTGTGTATCGAAAGCAAAACACAGTCTCTGTCCCCCCCCCCCC